AGGAGTTCATCTTTTTCGACAATACAACTTAACATTTTTTTAGTTGCACCCAGAGATGTCAGTGGTTATCAGTTAATCGACCAATTGCAGCTAATAGTTTCACCAGTTAATTATAAATTTTAGTTGACAAGGCAGAAACAGAAGAAGCACTTGAATGTTGGAGAATGTATTGTATGTATGTTAGTGCAACACTACAGCAATCAGAGGATGCGATCACTCGGAAAACTGGCAGTTCAGTTTCAGCAACCGCTATGACAGTTTAGCTGGTAAAGTGCCACCATGAGAAACTCTCCTGTGATACCTAATGCCCGCCAGTGTGCATTTGAACTGACAAAAACAGTTCATGGATTATTCAGTGCCAGTGGCTACAACTACATTTTTTTTGGTGTGTCTAAATGATGCACCAGTGCAGCCAAATCTAAAGTTTATTTGGAGCCCTAGTACTGTCTAGTTACCAAAAGTGAATCCACATTTAGCAGTTAATCAGTATGCTGTATTCTCCTTGGCCATAGTAACGTGCTCATGAACTGTCTGAGTCTTCAGTCAGGAGAAGGAAGTACTTTAGATGCTGAGGAAGGTTTTATAAAACTATTCAATATTTCTGAAATGAATTAATGTCATAACAGTCACAGAACTTTAACATTTCAACAATTAGAGCGATATTGTTGCTAGAAACTACGTACATTTCAAAAGGCAGATCAATGCAAATCTTTGTTTTACAGATTAAATGTATTTATTCGTTTTTTAAAGCATTTTTGTGTGAGATTGTGCTCACGTTTCCACCCTCATTAAACCACTGATGTGTAAATAAAAATGATAATCACCCTGACCTCTGTAACTCAGTTCCACTGGCTACTCTTAAAGTTTGACTTTGTTCAAATTTAAATGCACCACCACATCGTTTTGAAATCATTATTAATGAGCTTAAGTGCTTGACTAGCCTCATTAATCTCCAGTTCAAGTACGAATTTGACATTTCCACATGCATATTAAATGGAAATGGCATCATTTTGTCAATCTGCATGAAGAAAGAGTAGTAGCAATAAAGAGCAATACATTGACATGCAATTATCAGATATGCACTCACACGTACACCATTTACTCTTTTATTTAAAGATCTCTGGAGCTGCTGTATGCTTTTCTCAGCTTCTTTAGTGAAGACAGTATTATGCATTTTTGGATTCCATGCTCTTTTTTTTTAGTCACAAAGCCGATAAAAGTTTTGAACTTCTTACAATTAGAACATGCAGCAAATTTTCAGGAAGGAAAGTAACCAGTGTTGTCAACACCTGCCTGGTGGGTGGACATTTTCAATGTTTGACTGAACCAATGCGTCTTAAATATTCTTTGCTGTATAGACGGAGAAAAGTAGAAAATGTGAAAACTTACCAATGTCATCAGCACATTAACTGTTCTTTTTTTTTCACAATATACAAATACCTCGCCAAGTGAAGAACAAGTAATATGAAATGCACAAGAACACAAGAGAGTGTCTTTTGCTTTTCAGGTTTACATTTGGTGAATAACTCATTCCTGTTTTTCTCATCAACCTTTGAGCTACTAATACAAGAAAGTGAAAAATGAATCGAGAAGGTCACGAGCAGCCGTGACTCAAAGCTCATCAAAACCTCATGCTGAACTGAATTGGTCATCTCAGACCTTGAGAGCCTCTAAGAAAGGATTATGACCTAGTAAACAGAAAACACACAACGCAGAGGGGCACGCTACTGATTGTATCTCTCTAAAAATAGTGGTTGCACTATTAGTCATCTCTTTTTACATGTCTGTCTGTGAGGTCCTTTATGACATGAGTGAGGGCACAGTGGTTATTTTAAAGACACCTTCAGGGGTTTTTAAAATTTTTATTTTTTTTATCTTGTTAATATGTCCACATAGTGTTTTGTATATGCTGGAAGACTCATGATAAGAAAAAAAAAAGCACCCAGCTCCGTGGCTGAACATTTCCACCTCAGAACTACAGTGTACTGAAGACAAAAGCACGATTTGGACACCAGATGAGCTGGTGTGCTTGAGCTGCAGCAAGTGAGAGATGTGGGTGAAGGATCAAATTAGGTTTCTGTATATAGCACACTTTAAAACAGCCTGGATTGACCAAAGTGTTGTATATGTTGTAAGACAGACAACAACCAAAATATGTGCAACAAACTGGATATGTAGGATCATTTTTTAAATTAAAAGAAATCTAAACTGCTAAAATATTAGGAGGGCACCTCATAGATTTGCACATCCTAGAGGAGGCAACAGAGTAGAGTTATATCTGAGCCATTTTAAGGCTGGAAGGGATTATTTTCATGGAAAAAGTTCTACATATGTAACTTTTATACACCGAGATGAGTTTTGGAGTTTCGTCAGTCCCGGGGAGGGACTTTTGTCACATCTTCCTCAGCATAAGCACAAGAGTTTGTTTGCTCGTAAAACTACATATAATGTTGGTCGTCATAATAATTGGCTGTGAACTAACTGTCATCATTTTGTCATTAATCTCAATAGCAGGACCAACACAGCTAATATGGCTGCAGTACTTTTATGGTTGTTTTCTGGTTTGTTTGGTCCTGACTTCTCATTGAGTCAGACTCACATCTCACTCTGCACCATTACACTGGAGAGCAACATCTGCTCCAAATGATATTTTAATGATATGGGTACCTTAATTTTTCCGCACAAACACAATAGTTTTAATTACTCCTGTGCTGTTTTGACAGAGACTGATCGCCCCAACGCTGAATATACATTTGGTTTAGTTTTTCTTTTTTGTCCTCCAAAACTGATCTGTGCCACAGACTGAGGGCAAACAGATCTCTGGCCCGAAGAGCAGCCATGTGTCCATATAGGACATGGTCTACATCCAAATGATGAACCATCTGCAGTACCGGAGTCATCTAAGGACGCATTTTAAATTAAAGACACTCAGTCAGGAATGAAAACCTGCTGCTTTTATGGCAGCAATCATCACTGTTGTGTAATGAAGATAACTTAATTTCAGTCATTGCACTGAGAAGAGAACTGGCCTTTAAAAATGTCAGGTAATATCACAAGGGCCTCAAGGGAAACTTTAGTCTGTCACAGTTGACATCTTAGGACTAATGAGTTATTTGCATGCAGTTAAAGACTTTCCTGATTTATTTATTTTTCGACAAGTTAAATGTGTTTTAATTGTACAAATAATATGCAACATCTCACTGGGCATGTTTCAGAGCAGCAGGGTAGTTAGAGAGCAAAAAGATGAGCTTTCACCTGCAGGCTGGTTTGTCCTTGAACAAGACCCTGAATCTGTAGCTGATCTGAAGAGGTCGTGCAGCTCTGACCTCCTTGTGCAGCTGCTGAGTGAAAACAGAGTTCGCCTGTGGGGCTCTGGGAAGTGTCACACATCAGAATAAGAATGGGTTTTGCATAATTTGGTTTTCCACATATGAGAAATTTGACTGTCTGTGGAAGCCAAAGGTCAAAACACAAAGAAAAACAAGAAAACTGGTTCAGAGAGAAGAAATTTGACAGTAAAACAAGACAGATGTAGGTAGAAGCTGTGATGTCATGTGACATTGTGAAGAATCCACCATTTTATTGATCATTTATTCAGCAACAAGTTGGTTCAGGCATTTATGTAATGTAGAGAGATGTAGTCAAATGTATATGAAATGACTTATTTTCAAGCTGCTGAGAAGTTTGTTTCTGCCGTTTTTGTCATTATGGCACAGCATTTGAAACCTGCCTGAGTTTCACTAGCTAATAAAGTAAGCAATAAACACTTCACATCTTCTGACTATTCTGACTGCAATTTGACAGGATTGGTTCCTTGGGTTTGTCACATATGAAACCCTGGAAGCCTGAATCTATGTTTTTAAGGCTGTCATTGGAGTTTTAAAGTGAAAATGGCAATGGCCTTGGCAGCTTATGTCACAAATGATGCGTTCCAGCACATAAAAAACACTGTATGGCTACTTTAACAAGGCAGAAAAATATAAAAATAGATGTTCATCAGAGGAGGCCTTCAAGGTTCACCATCTGGTAACTACTGATCTCCTGATGACTCTGATCATTACAGTGCCTATTTAACATTAAATCATGGTCAATTTATTTCAGCTTTCTGGACAAGAATTTACACAAAAAGGATCCTTTCATGTCAAAGTGTAAACAGATTAATAATCACAAACACATCACCCTCACTGTGAGGCATGTTGGTGGCAGCATCATGATGTAGGGATGCTGGTGGCCCTGGAAGGCTTGGAAAGTTAAAGAGTAAAATGAATTCAGCAAAGTGTAAAAGAGGAAATCCTGGAGGACAACCTGATCCAGTCTGCAAGAGAACTGTGACTGTGGGAGACGAATTGTTTTCCAGCAACACAATGACCCGGAGCATACAGCCAAAGCTACACAGACATGGTTTTAGACAAAAAGGTGAATGTTTTGGAGTGGCTGAAGCAGAGCCCAGACCAGAGAATTTGTGGCTTGACTTGAAAAGGGCTGTTCGCTTACGATCCCAGTGAAACCTGACAGAGCTCGAGCAGCTTTGCAAAGAAGAATGGTGTAAAATTACAGTGTCCAGATGTGCAGGGCTGATTGAGGCCTATCCACAAAGGCTCAATGTTGTAGTTGTGGCCAAAGGTGCATCTACTAAACACTGACTTGAAGCTGGTGAACACTTGTGCATTTGCTTATTTTAGATCTTTTATTCTTTGCCATTACTTTGTAGAAATACATTTTCACTTTGACATGGAAGACGTAACATTTACCATAATTCAGTGTTGACAAGCACTAAAGGGGGAAAAACCTCCAAGGGAGATGAATAGTTTTTAATGGGCATTGTATTAGTGCTTTCCAGTTCATAATTTGCACCGTTATTGGTTTCTCTGTGATTATTCTCAGTGGTTCCACTACATAATTTCAGTGCACATTAAGGTCATTAATTTGGAAAATAGCACTTCAGCAACAATACCGTTGTAATTTTTGAAACTAATGTGCCATTTTCTTGCTTCTCACAGGTTAGGATTCCCCATGATGATAATGACATGCATGATTGCCATGTGCTACCTGCTGGCCACCCACATCGGCCTGGGATGGAACATGTGAACCCACACCTGCTGTACAGAGTCAAAGAGACTGTGTGTGCATGTGACCACTCCTCCAAGAGTTTCAGCTCTTCGTCAGGTGACGTGTAACCTGACCGACTGATCGGGTTACAGACACTGTTTGAAGCATTGTAGCCATATTTTTTTTTAAAGAAAGTGTCTTTGAGTAAAGTGCAGACCATCAGGGACAAGATTTATGGGAACTTTAACCAAAACTTTGAACCCAGGAAAAAGTGTATTTTACTAAAAAAAAATTAAAAAAACATGGCTCCACTCCATAATGCTGTACATGGTGCTACGGCCTCAGTGGGTGTAATGTATCTGGAGTACGATGTCACACCGTTCATTCTTTTTGGAAATCCATGTGGCCTGTTTACAAAAAGCAGCAAATCATTTCCCCAGGCATGTGCACAACACTGATCTGCTTTTAGAAACATTTAGAAGGCTGATGATTATCTGTTTTAGACAATCATTTCACCCATAGTTTACCAAACTTATGTTCATATTTTACAGACCCAGTGAAAGGGATTTTATAAAAGTTTATGTCTAATATTTCTTTGTTGCATTCCCATATCTCATAAGCAGAAAAACAAAAGCAGCATCAATTAAATTGGAAAAGAACAGAAAACAGTTGCAGACTATTATCTAAGCCTTATATACTGTCTATTGTACGATGTAAACGCTGATCTTGTGTAAACTCACTGATTTACTTCAGTTAATCATATTTAACATCATAGTAGTGATGATGTAAATTATCTTACATGGAATGGACAATGTCTTCTTACCTTGCCCAGTTATAAAGGTTTTCTGTATTTATTGTACAGCCCAACAACCTGAACATCATGTGTGTTCAGTGGATGAAGCTTTCACAGCTTTCAGACTGAGATCAACATGAACAATAAAGTTTGTCATGTTTCTCGATTTTATTTGGCTCTTGTTGTTTGTGATTATTTCTGAATATTTGGTACCATTTTCTAATAGGAACCCCTATCTGGCTCCCTAATCCACTTGATCTGTACCATTACACCTTAAAACCAGATCCCAGTCTGATCAACCATCAGCAGGATGCATCAGAATAAACCAGGATCCTCAAAGTGTCAGAAGGATCCACCGCCAACATACCAGACACCACAGAGGTCCAGCGTCTTTGGCCCAGTGGGTCAGATCTGCTTTCATGGCGCGAGAGGGACTTATATAATATGCAGGTGGTTCTAATGTTGTTGCTCATTGGTGTATTTCATGTTGAAACACTCTTGTCTCACTCACAATCTGGTATCAGTGCTGGAGAATGATCTGCTCCATGTCCTTATCATTCTGCTACGTGGAGGGAAAGACTCTGGACTGTTTGTATTTCTTTTAAACCAATCACACTCATCTTGGGCGATGCAAAGCTCAGGCAAAATAGTGGGGGAAGTTCTTTGTTGGAACATTTGCACACAGAGATTGGGCACTGTTATTAAAATAGCTAATTCACCTAAAGAACCACCATGCCTTACTGCATGATAAAAAAAACTTGTGCAAACCTTTCCATTTTCAGAATGCAGGTTGCTCCTTTGAGGTTACTGCTGTTTCTAATAGCTTAGGGGATTTTCAAACAGAAACATACAGATAGCAGAAGGGGAGGAGAAACCAGTGTGATTATTTTCAGATGGACACAGTTAAAGAGACAGGAAATGCGGGGTAACATGCAGAGACTGGCTAGCAAACCAGGGGACTCATTGCTTGAAGGCGTTTGCACCCAGGTGGTATGCAGCCTAACCACTAGAGTACCGGGGGCACCCTATCTGCTATTTTTGTGGGAGTTTTGATTCTTGACAAACTAAAGACTTTCACAGCATCCGCCAGCTTTAGAAGTCATGATACCTCTTTCCCTTTTTCAGCAGCTGAATGGCAACATTTTCCAAGAATGAGATCTTCTGGCAAGTTTAAAATGTGTCCTGGAAAACTACTTTTGCATTTATAAAGGGGCCAAGGCAGCTGAATGAACTATATGAGATTCCCCTAACCTTGTCAGGGGACTGTTAATAATTCATACTGTGCTTTGATGGTGGTGTATAATTTTGCCATTTTCATTTTCTTTTGAGTGGTCTGATTCATGAATGGCCCCATAACTGATTCCATCATTAGCAATCACATGATGTCTTTATTTGCAGAGATGGTGCCATCTAAACACAATGTATAAAAAAGAATGCTGTTCTGCACTGAACCTGTAACGCAGGTGCTGCACCGTCACATTTCTGTGACAGTAAGCTAATAAAAACGCTCACTTATTGTAGTCATTGTAATTCTGTGACAACAGCAACATCATGAGGGCAAACTGGAAAAAAACACAGTAAACTCAATCGCCCTTTAAAAAACACACTTCACCAGTTTTTTTTTTTGTTGTTATTTTAGTTTCTACCAACTGTGCTTGTGATAACATAAGAATCAGCACTTATTAAACATTTTCCCACTTGAACTTTGTGAGGTTTTGAACATTTTAAACAAGGTGTAAGCTTTAGCGTGTAAATCAGAGAAAACATGGGATACTCAACCAAAATGAATTACAGCATCAACATAACAGAAGTCATTCTGTATCTACAATAACCGACGGCAGATTTCTTCCTGTCTGTGAAAAGTTTCCTGACACTCGACAGTGGTTTCCTCTAAAGTTGCTCCGTTGCTCTCCTGCCACATTCACTGCTTCACTCCTCTGTTTATTGGCAGCAGCTGAGACTAAAACTGACTTTGGTGTTTCTTTTAATGAGTCAGGCTGAGAGCCAAGTAACACCCAGCAACGGAGATCGATGTACAGTACATAGCTCCTGTAGGACTGTTCTGCCACATTAAAGCGTTACTCCCCGGGGAAAACAACGACTCGGAGTGCATTTGTTAGAGTTAGTCCGAATCTATTTGTGTTGTCCGCTTTGTCGCCCTTCCAGAATTGTGCTTGGGATCACAGCTAATTAATTAAAGATGCTTTCACCCACAGAGAACTCTATATCTTTATGCTTTAATACATCACATTAGGGCATAATGTGTAGTGATAACTGAAGGCTCAACCTACTTTTTTCCTTTGCCCTCATTTGTAGGATACTAAAAACCAACAAAATAGAGAAAACATTGCTCAACACTAACATCCTGTGCTAAAGCTGCACTATAAAACGATGGGTTAAAGTTTTAACCTTTCATACAACATGCAAGTAGGTACGGATTTTCCTGCAGCCCTGATTAACTGACATAAACAGTGGATTTTTTTTATGTTGATTGTTTACATAGCCGACAGTTTCTCCGATTAAATTCATACATCAGAGCTTCAGAAACTCGTTTTACTGTCTGACAATGAGAGATGCTCCCGCTGAGCACTTTCTGCCTCGTTTGTTCAGCTGTTTTGCATAACTGCTGACATTTGGTTGGAGCTGGAACTAATCCAGCAGTTCTGTGAGCCACTTATCTTGGTGGTCGGTTTGGTCAGGCTGACTGACAGTTTGGAGCATGTTTATTGTGGTCAGTGACCCCGATGCCTCCCCAAAGACGGTTTACTGAATATGTATTCTTTTGTGTTCAGGAGCCTGTAAGGACAACAACTACAACCAGGTGTTTTGAAACTACTAGAATCAGACAACTATCGTAATTTTCGGACTGTTAAGCACACTGGAATATAAGTCACAACTAACTTTAAAAAGAAAAACAAATGTGTACATATACAGGCCACACTTGTCTATAAGCCGCAGGTGTCCACGTTGTATCATGAGCTATTTACACAAAGAGATTTTTTAAACTTGTAATTTAATACGTACCGGTAACATACACAAATATGTACCGTAAATGCTTTTTTTCCCCAACAATGCCTGTAACACGGCTGGTTACAAAAATTTAAAAAACAGTAACCTACCAGGAAAAGTCATTGATCACTAGCTTCATCTTCCTCCTGCGCACTAAAACCATTAAAGTCGTCTTCTTCAGTGTTGCAATTGAATAGTCTCAGAATTACTTACTCAGTCTCTCTTTCGTTGTCGCTCTCAATGTCACTTTCGTCTCGAGGCAAGTTCGTAAAAATCATAAAAACTTACCCGCATCATTGTTTAAGCTGCAGTGTTCAAGGCGTGTGAAGAAAGTAGCGGCTTATAGTCCGGAAATTACGGTACTGTGAGACCTCACAGGCCTTTCAGTGATTTTTTCCCCCTGTTTTGCTTATTGAAAGGATGTGATGTGTTTGGAATTTTTTTTAAACCGTTTAGCAGTGACAGTCATCACAGAGTTGATGGTACAGTTCTGATGATAAGAGATGAGTTTTCAGAGCTTAATTAGGAAAACCACTACAATCCTCCTAACTCCAAGCAGTTTCTGGACATTTTTGGCTCCTGCCAGATGTTTACTCACCATGTGCTCATTTTTCACTGCAATATAAAGTCCTGCCTCTCGATGGAAACAGAACAACCATATCTGGAAGTACAGAGAACTTAAAAATGTCTTATGTGCACCACAAAATGTTATAAAGCCATAAATCTTTCTAAAGACAAGAAGTAAACTGAATCATTTGTATTGTATGATGTTGCAGTTCAACGACTACCAAAATCAGACCAGCACCAGTCCTGTTGGCCAAAGACAGACGCCCAGAGAGGCCTAAATGGAGGGAGATATTATCCATTTTTAGCTGTGCACCATTCACTTTTACTGCCTCTCCTCTGTCAGATGGCAGTTGTTCCACAAAACAGAAATGCTCGGGCAGTTTCCTCACCACCGTGTGCCATTTGCGCCACGCTGGCCTGAACAAACAGTTTGTGGATCAAGAAAACAAAGCAGGCTGTAACAGCAAACAGTGGAGGCTGGTACACACACACAATCTGTGACATGGTCCAAATAGAAATGATACCCTTCTGACTCTGCCAACATTTGCAAATCATCCAAGGAGGATTTTCATCTTTGGCCTGAATGGCGGACCATTCTCAGCTATGTTCATGTTGAATATGTTTCCCCACATACGTGATGTGATGTGCATGTTTGTCTCCAAAACCCGCCGGTCCTCTCACAGCTTCATACAGACCACCTGCTGCTGTGTGATCACATCAAAGACTGAGATGGATTTGCATCCTGTCACAAACTGATCTCTCTTCAGACAGTTCAATCCATGTGAGGTCTAACCTGCCGAAGAGAAAGGCTCGTTGAAGTCCTGACAAATTGTTCTACATTGTAACGTGTCAAACACAACAGGAGGAACAAGTTAAATAGCAGCATCCCATGTACAGTAGATTTTCCAGTTGCACACCCCGACTGTGTTGACTGGGATAGACACATTTTCATGTATTTAGCAAAAGAAAACCTCAACTGTTATGTGAATATTAAGAGCCGGGTGCTGGTGGCATCTTGTTTCTAGTTCGGTGACATTAAGTCAGTGCCGAACGCGATGATGTGATAAAAGAGTGCTGGTCAAACAATGAACAATCTACATGAAAAACATACTGGAAATATATATTTTGTTTGTAAATCTGATCAAGACTACAGTCTCCTCACAGATCAGATGTTTTTAATCTCTGCATTAAGCATTGCAACTATCACTGCCGCAGTCGATCATGTTCATTTAATTTTGGGAAGCCAAAGTCAAGATCCTGATTATTTTTCGACTAACTGTGCAGCCCTAGAAGTTATGTATGATTATCATTTTGTGGAAAGCTATTGTGTGGATCTCTGCCTGTGCCACACATCAACAGCATCAGCATCAGCACAGCAAAAGGCTAAACGCTAAAGATGTACAATGTAACTTATTTGTATTTGCCAAACTAAAAATATAGCGAGGACAAAAGCATTTAATTGACCTCAATTTAATTTGAGTTTTTAAAATGACAGTAAAAACAGATCAAATCAAGAAATATGACCAGCAGTAACACATTAGCACCTTTTAGCTACTACGAACTGTTCTACACATCCACCTGACATGGAGTAACAT